CCCCAAAACCCCAAAACCCCAAAACCCCAAAACCCCTAGACTGAAAAATCGCTTGCAATTAAAAAATTGTAACATTATTTAAATAGTAAATCAATTTCTTGGGAGTTTAATCATATATAAATCGTTAAATGGCATGTGATGTCTATCTCCTCCAAATACATACATATATCCATTGCTATCGACATTAGCAGTGTGGCCATCTCTTGGAGTTGGTTTCTTTCCTCTAACTACGCCAAATTTAGCTTCCTAGCCTCCTCCAATCATAGATTGCTCCATAACAGTGTTGTTTCCATGCTTTCTCTTTTTCATGGAGTGGTAGTATTAATCGAAGCTCTCGTCAGCATTCTTTATAATAAATGAATTGTACATAGATATTGATGTAGGTGAGCTCAACCCCTTCTGTTCTTCTTTTTAACCATTTTTATCCTTATTCTTATCACTTTAAGGAGTAACCTTTTTATGAGGTGATGTATTAGTATGGCTCTATTTCTTTGAAGGACTCTGATTTTATCTTCTAGCTCTTTGATTCGGAGAGCTGCTATCATGGTGAGATACATTCTTGAGTGGAGCGTTAAGATTGTTTGTCTCTTCAAATCTTGAATGATATCCATATTCACCTTCACCATTTTGATCAATAATGCTGAAAGTTTAAGTAGCATAATCGTATTGTAGGAGATCATTGAGCTCTTTGGTAACTTCTAAAATACCTCCGAAGATGTACATTTTGTTATTATAAGTCACAGCTGTGTGCCCACTTCTACCAACTGTGTATCCATCTGGTTAATTATAATGAATTTGCTTCATCTGTCTAGTACCTAGGTTTAGTTCCCATAAGTCTTCAAGTTTGTTGTTTTCATCATCCTATCCACCCATAATGTATAGAGTATCACCATTGATGACAGATGTATGAGAATTTCTTGTTAGTGGAATTTTATTATCAGTGTACAGCAATGCCCATCCAACAGTTCTTGCAGCTGCATTAAATTAGAGATGATAAACGTCATTTACTCTTGATCCATTAACAAACCCTCCACAAATTACATAATCTGAACCCCAAATGCTTAAAGAATGATCATCTCTTGGAAGTGGAACATCTCCCTATTTAAATAATATTGATATTCAAAATTACAGTTTATGAAGCAACCTAAGACCAGGTATGAGTCAATACATCAAATATATAAACATTTTTATTACTCTAGTCACCTTGGAGTCCTATATAATATTTAAATTGTACATGGTTTACCTCCAACTAGTATCATTTTCTCGCCAGAAACTGTGCAAGTGTGATGAGAGATCTTTGAAGGTCCAGATCCTTTGAAATTAACAAGATCCCATTAAGCTGGGTGATATGGATCTGCCATTAATTTTTCTAGATCATTTAAATCTAATTTCCACATATTATCTAGAGCACCTTCCTTGAGATCTCTTCCACCGTGAATATAGTAACTATTTTTGAATAATAAGATTGTTTAGATTACCTTCTGTTTCCATTTCCCTCATAGACAAAAGATGAGTGATTAGATCTTCTCTCAGGAAGTTTACCTTGAAGTCTAATTTCCATCCATTAGCATTCCTATATTCTTTAAATTAATTCATTCTTACAGATACATGACCATGCTTTTCTTCTTCATCGTCTCTGAGATCTTGATTTCCCTAATAATTAAGAATAAACTAAATGTACATCTTGAAGTGTAACGGGCTTTTCACTCATATTTAATGAAAAAATTAAAAATTAAATTAAATCTTATCCTACGCTTAACAATTAAATATCTAGAATAGGGTCATCGGGGTTTTGGGGTTTTGGGGTTTTGGGG